CGCCACCGTCGCTCGCTCCCCTCTCGGCCGGACCCCGGAGGCTCCCGAGTGCTGAGGCTTAAGTGCGGGGCTGAGCGCGCTGAGGAGGCGGCCACCTCGCTTTCTGGGTGCAGTGAGTGACCGGCTATCCCTTCCTCCCCCCTACCCCCCGCCCCCGCCGCCTCGTCTTCCTTTTTCAACCAGGCAGGGGAGCGGGGCAGCCAGCAGAAGGGATGTAGGGGCTCAGGGATGCTGGGGCCCTCATGGGGCTCTTTGGCGTGGAGTCCAAAGTATGACCCTTATCTCTCACTGCCCTGGCCATCTGTGGAAGGCTGGACTTTGCCTTTGCTCCAAGGACCGCACCTGGGGCCAGGTCCCTGACCCAACATTTCTCCCATCACCCGAGGCTGGGGAGGGAGGACAGGAGCCGCCGATGGGGGTACCTTCATGCTTCATGGCAAACAGGCACCCTCCAGGTTTCACACCTACAGCAGCTGCTCAAACAGACCTGCTCACGGAAGGGCACTTGCTGGACATGCCATGGAAGGACCGCACTGTCACATCCATAAATCATGACGGTTGTCTGACAGAAGGGTGGATACTGGGAATCAGAAGTGTCCGTGGAGGTGTGATCATTATAATCTTACAGTCATGAAGCCAAAGACCCTGTAATGGGGCAGGGGCAGGTCTGAGTGACCCCACCTGGCCCCCCTCCCCCATCCTGGGTCTTTCTTCTGCAGCCCGGCTATGCAGGGACTGATACGACTTCTTGCATTTGTAGAGCACCCTGAAATTTACAAAACACATTCACAAGCATAATGTCAGGTCACTAGATCTTTCTCCACTCTGCTCTCCTGTCTGGCAAATTAAACACCTAAATGATCTGCAGTGTTCTCGTCCTCACTCTGAGGACTCTATTTTGTTTGGGAGAGAAATCTTTATCATTCTTTGTATTTTTTTTAAAGTGTCAAACGGCTTTATTTAAGCAACATACATAATTTAAAGTTGTGATACAAAAATTAAACATACAAAAAAGTGTAAATAATAGTATAATGAGCCCCACATTCAACAACTATCAATTTTTAAAACTTTATTTTTATTGTTGACACTATTACAGATGTCCCATTCCACCCTCCACCCCCCCACACACACTTTGCCTCCCTCCACCCAGCCCCTAAGCCCCTTCCCTCTTTTAAAAAAAAAAAATTTTCTTTTTAAAAAAAATTTTTTTTTGATTTCTTTTTTTACAGAGAGGAAGGGAGAGGGATAGAGAGTCAGAAACATCAATGAGAGAGAAACATCGATCAGCTGCCTCCTGCACATCCCCCACTGGGGATGTGCCCGCAACCAAGGTACATGCCCTTGACCGGAATCGAACCTGGGACCCTTCAGTCCGCAGGCCGACGCTCTAGCCACTGAGCCAAACTGGTCAGGGCAACCCCCTTCCCTCTTGCCATCCCCACACCCATTCGTTGGTTTCTAGTTTTGTCTGCCTTCCTCATATTTGCCCTTCGATACTTTCTTTTTCTGAGCTTGCTGTTATGTGATTGCTCTGTTGGTTCAGAAGAGTTCTTTGTGCCTCTACCCCCTGCATGCTACTTCCTGCTTCCTGCCTCCCAGTGGGTTGGAGGGTTTTAGAGCAGGAATTGCAGTGGAGAGAAGCCCTTTTCTCTTCCCATTCACAGTGTGTGTGTGTGTGTGTGTGTGTGTGTGTGTGTGTGTGTGTGTGTCTATTATCACTACCCTGTTTTTAAAAAATATATATTTTTATTGATTTCAGAGAGGAAGTGAGAGATAGAGAGAGATAGAAACATCAATGATGAGAGAGAATCATTGATCAGCTGCCTCCTGCATGCCCCACACTGGGGATAGAGCCCACAACCGAGGCATGTGCCCTTACGCCCCGACTGGGAATTGGACTGTGTCGACCTCCTGATTCATAGGTCGACGCTCAACCACAGAGCGTTGTTCATACACAGAGATATCAATTGATCCAGGGATGACAAGAGTAGTCATGAGGGAAAGAGAGCTAATAATAAACCCGGAGATGGTGATTACTGACAGCATTAAATGACACCCCAGGGATAGCTGGTGCCAAGGGTCCTTAGCTTCTCCTTCCAGGGCCTCCCAGAAGGAGGTGGGAGGAGGAGTAAGAGGGAAATTGAAAATTAAGAGAACACCAGAGACAAGCCTGGGCTCACAGCACTTTGGGGTGAAATAGTTAGACTGGCCCGATGGACATGGGGAAAACTAACCCTTTCACTTCCTGCAAGACTGGAACCCAGTCTCCACCTACTGCCTGCCCCAGGGCCTGTCTTCAGCCTCTCTGGAAGGAGAGGTTCCCAGGAAAGCTGGAGTCTTAAAGCTGGAGGTGTGGCAGGTTACTACGTGGGCTGGGAGGTGGGATCCTGTGTTCTAATTGGTCTATTCTGGCCTTCTTGTCAGGTTGTTGTTCTCACAACCTCCATTTTCCCTTGCCCTTCTGTGTTGTGGAGAGAAGACACATGAATGAAGCCTGAAGAATTGGGAGGTTGGAGGATTGGCCCCTACTAAGTGGTACTGGGGAGCAACCTGGCCTTTGGCTAAGAGAGGGGACCTGGGTACTTGTCTTTCTTTCTGGCTGGCCCCAGTCTTTCCTCACTTCTTTAGCTTGAGTTGTATCCCTTCTCCATGCCTCAGTTTCTCTCCCAGTGCACATACCCCTCGTTGGGCCCCCAGCTCAACCCCACAGATGATGAGGTGTCTGTCCAAGATCAGAGCACTGAGGGTCAGAAACTTCCACCTGATACAGCAGGAGGGTAACTCTCTGGGGCTGGCATAGGGGGGCCCAAATTTCTTTTCCTCTTCTTCACAGGCAGGAAGGTCAAGGAGACTCACTGGAGCCCTGAGCTCTGCCCAGTCCCCACCTCTCAGGGCAGAGCGGAGGCATCTGGGTTAATGAGCATCTGGGCAGGTGCTAAAGGAGGCAGCTGATCGGAAGGGTGTCCTCCTTGGCCCAGAGTGGGGGAGAGGGGAAGCCGAGGGCTCAATCTGGGAGGCACCAGGTCATGTGAGGCAGATAAAACCAGGAGGCTGGGCCACTGGGCACAGCTGCCAGTGACTTAGACCAGCACTGATGCCCTTTTCCTTTCCTTTTTAATTCTTCCCTCCATCCCTTCCTTCCACACTTATTGGCAGTGTGCAAGGTATGAGGGATAGTCCTATTCCTAGAATAAGAGACAGTTCCTGACCTCCAAGAGATTACAGACTAATATGGGGAGACAGACAGACGAATGGTGAACAGAACATTGACATGCAAGTCATACATATAAAGAATGCACCAAGAGCTGTGGGAGCACTTTGGGAGGGACTAGTAACTACATAAGGGAGTCAGGAAGGTTTCATAGAAGAGGTGAACTTTGTGCTGGGACTTTAAAGATGAGTAGGAATTTGCTGGGCAAAGTAGAAAGGAAGGGAATTTCTGGAGGAGGGAACAGCATGAGCAAAGACACAGAGATATAGAGGAACATGGTCAAAAAGAAAGGGGGAAAGAGCAGGCTTTGTCTAAGGCAGCAGTTCTCAATCTGTGGGTCGAAACCCCCTTGGCGGTCGAACGACCCTTTCACAGGGGTCGCCTAAGATCATCCTGCATATCAGATATTTGCATTACGATTCATAACAGTAGCAACATTACAGTTATGAAGTAGCAACGAAAATAATGTTATGGTTGGGTCACAACATGAGGAACTGTATTTAAAGGGCCAGAAGGTTGAGAACCACTGCTCTAAGGCCTCCTGAGAGTCGGCCTGATGGGTCCCTGGGGACATCCCATCCTCCAGCACCTGATCTCTGAGTGGTGACTTAGAAGGACATACCCTTTTCCTAGCATTCAGGACCCCCACAATGTGACCCCAGTATGCTTCCTGCCTTTCACCTGCCACTCCCCTACTCCACCCTGGACATGTCCCTACTCTCTGAATCTGTCCGGCTTCCCTGATTCCAAGCCTGTGATCAATCACTTTCCCTCAGCTGGCATCATACTCTCAGCCCCTTGTCTTCCCATTTCCACACTCTCCTCCTTCAAGTCCTGCCCATGGACTGCTTCACTTCAGGAATCTTTTCCTGAGGATCCCCCAACCAGAGCGATTGCTTTTCGTCCTGTTTTCCACTGCCTTGGCCACTGTGTTTCTTTAAAAGGCACCGCTCCTACTCTGCCCAGTACTGTTGCATAGATGTCCATG